AAAGGAGGAGAGGGAGCGACCCAAAAAAGGGCGGGGGGATGGTGCAACCTTTATTAATGGCTTGATGGGAATTGGAGAGTTTAATCTGAGCTGCGGTTCCGTCAAGAAGGCTTTGAGATATATTTCAGGCTGAGCAGGGAGCAGTGTCTTCTTTAAGACATCACTATATGTTATCTCTCGCGTGTCCTAAGCTCAAGACCCGGAGACGCTGCATTTATTAGGGCTTTCTCCATTGTCCTCCATTGCCGTTATATTAAAATAAATCTGCCAACATAGGACGGAATCCCTCCACCATGTAGCTCCTCTTGTAGCCGAGGCACTTGTCTGTCGTCACGGCGAGACTCAAACGGGACATTTCTCAATTTGAAAGTCTTCCTGCTGCGCCCATCACCGCTCCATTCCAGAGTGCCGCTTCTCACCACATCACCGCATACACACAATGAATGGTTTTGACGAAGGCTGATGCTGCGTACTGCTAAGCGCAGTGTGAAAAGGGTTGAACAGTTACACCGATGAGCATTGGGGCACATGAAACAAAAACTGCGAAAGACAGAGAAATGAAGGCTTAACTCACTGGAGATAAATTAGCATGAAAACATATGTAAATCTGAGCCAGGCTTTTCTGGAGGAGTTGGAGATTTGCGGAAGGAATCAGATGTGCCCTTGTGCAGATTCTCTCCCCTACCATATGCCACCACTGCAGAAAGAGAGAAAGAAAAATACAACCAAAACCACAACAATACCTACATTTGACCAAAACTGACATACCAAAATGAACCCAAGAAAAAAACAAGAGTTCTTAGACTAATACAACTTCATTGCATAGGATGGAGCAGACAAATGAGTGCATGTTCATTTTTGAGGGTTTGAAATGACTGTGCAGATTACTTTATCCCGAGCCTGCGTTTATCAGAGTTAATTTTAGGTTTTGGGAGCATCGATCTATTTATTTTCATAGCCCTTGTCCTAATTACGGTAACTGGTGATCTGGAAGCTTTGCACACCTGCATTTTTGGGTTCTGGTTCTTCCGTGTGCAACACAAAGTACACATTTCTTCTTGACAGACCATAATGATGATAATAAACTCCACAAAAATTATTTTGTGGAGTGGGGGAGCATAGTGCCAAGGCAGAAGTCAATACATTTTAGTAGGCTTTGCGATAAAGGGGGCAGATGCATATTTTTTTTCCCTCCTACCGTTGTCACCATAATGACATAGGACCTTTTATTGAGAATCTTTTGAGGTTTCGAATAAATAATGCATGACTCTCAAAGCAAACATTCGACCGCGTAAAAGTACATCTCTTGATCACGTTTGCTTCATACCACTTAGCCCTTCGATGTCTCCGACAATTCTCATCCAGAATTTATACCCGAGGAAACTGTGTAAATTTTACACCCATGTCATCCTCCCTCTCAAACTCAAGATGCAATTTCTATCAATTCTTAAAGTTTGAAGGACATGCTCATTTCACAGGTCAATTAATTTTAATCACACTATGTCAATTTAATCTGAGTTCAAGTCGCAAGATGGACACATTGTGAAAATCTCATTAACCTTCCCATTTGGCAATTTGTTCAGGGTTCTCCTTACCTGCAGGCCAGAGCCACTACTCAACCATTTTTAAAACTCTTATTCTGTTTTATGTTGACTAACAAACTCCAATATTTGGATTGTGTCAAGTCACAGCCACTTTTCCTCCTCAGATTTGACTGGCAGTGATCCCAGCAAGATATTCAACTTCAGATTTTAAGATAAAGATGTTGGGTTGGCCGTCTGGGGAAGTATTTATGCTGGGGAATCAAAACAACTTATCTTTGGCAGAAGTATCTTAGTATCTTATCTTGGCTTGTGCGCCTTAGAATATACAAGTCCAACCGGGGAACTTGTGTGAAAAGAATGCTCCCTGGACAACTAAAATTATCCATAATCCCATTTTTCAAAATAACCTGTATTCAAAGCTGTGTGTATTTTAAAATAAAGACTGCATATAGTACTCATGGCATGCTGGTTAGCATGTCTGCCTCACAGCAAGAGGTTTCTGGGTTCGGATCTTAGCTCTGGCTTTGTTTGTAGAAAATGGATGGATGAATGGAGGGATGGATAGATGCATGGTTGGTTGGATGTTAGGTGTGGACCGGTTTTTGAACACCTTCCAAACTGTTCAGTTTGACTGCTGTCGGTTCCGTTCGGTCCATAGGCACACGCAATTTTTTTTTGCTTTGTTCTAAGAGCAAAAATGGACGCTTCATCGGATCTGGAAAAAAAAATAGCAATTCAAGTGGAACCTTTAAGTGGTTATGTTTTATTATGTTTTCATATAAATGTTTTACTCTACAGTAGTATTTTTCTTGAGTAAAAACATCTAATAAAAAAATGGTGGTGTTTTTTTTTTCAGTGGCTGGAACAGATTAATGACATTCCCATTCATTTCAATGTGTAAAGTTGATTTGACATACGAGTCACAAGTCAAGCTATTGCAAATTCTGTACAGTATCTACTGTATCTTTCAACAAACAACTCATATTCTGTCTATCATGTGTTTGTCAATTGTCTTTGAGTATTTTGGATACATTTTTGTTTTATTTACTTGAATTATGGCAGCACAACGACGTTGTGGTTAGCACATCTGCCTCACAGACCTGAAGCTCCGGCTGGTTTCAATCAGTTCCAGGTTTCCTTTGTGGAGTTTGAATGTTTTCCCAATGCTCGAAATCATGCATGTTAAGTTTAGTGAAGATTCTAAATTGCCTTCATGTGCCCTGTGAGTGGTCGGCGCCCAGTCCAGGGTGTGCTTGTCTCACGACTAAAGTCAACTGAACTAGGCTCCAGCTCATCCACAACCCGAATGAAGCCAAGTGCTAAAATTAATTATGCATGAATGACAGTGAGGAATGTTAACTTCCCGTCTATAGTTAATAAAGGTTTTTATAAGGTTTTATTCTTTTATTTGACATCATTTCAATGTGTTCAAATCACAATGTTAACAATTTACAGAGAGCTTCAAATTGTTTCAAAAGTGTTTCCATTTCATAGCATGTTTGGAAATGGAAAAAAAAATCCTTTCTCCTGTTTCAGCAACTGATCTTATTTGAATAGATTCCACTGTGAATTTTAAGTGGACTTTCATTATGCATGGATGTGAAAAGAGTAATTGAATTAATTAGCTGTTAATCCACCCACAACAGTTTTGTCACTGTCTGTTTCATTTGCACGAAAGCTATCATCTTCATAATGAAGATCAAATTAATTTGCTCTCCCCTCCACTATCTCTGCCTGACACTCTCCGCCTTCTCCATTCCGTGTGCGTCCTCCCTTTTGCCCTCTTCCTCTCCACAGCAACTTGCGGTTAAGCTTCCTCACCGTTGTGTACAATACATTCAGTCAAGATACAGATGCAAGATGGCTGGAAAAATAGCACCTTTTTTTCTTCCTTCTTCCTCGAATCAAGAAGACACCATCTGTGCTAAATTTTATTCCGCATTGTATTTGTGCCATCCATTTAATTGAAATCCTGCAAATGAGCCATTGTTTACACGTTGCAGCAGGAGAACAGAGAATTACAGCACACAATTCTTTTTTTTTCTCCTCTCCAGCCATGGTAATTAGTACGAACTCAGGAAAATGATTTGTCTCTGTCCAAATACTAAAAAAAAAAAAGAAATCACCTGTCTGTCACGACGCAAGTATGGAGCCACATACTGCAACCACCTTCTAAAAGACAGAAAGCTCTTAGTGGGAGATTTATCTAGATTTGATCAGATTTGATGCCGCATTTGATTGTGGGCAAAGTGGGAAATATGGCAAACAAACGCTGGTCACAATGTGCCCTGTACTTTGTAAATCAAATCAAATCTGACAACAGCAATAAGGTAGGATTTGTTTTGTTTGCGGAGAGTCAATCTGACTTTTGATTCATCTTCTTTGGCATCCTCAGTTTATTTTAATGGAAAAAATAATGAGTAAAAAGCTTCCAGTTTACCAGAATGTCACACTAACACTAAACAAATAGATGAGGCTGGATTTGATGCATTTACACTAGACTAGCCCTTTAATGCACAAATTATGATAAAAAAATCCTTAAAAATCCTGATGTCATCAGGATTTTTAAGGATTTTTTTCAAGATTCATTCATATAGAACTGTGAGGTGAATGTGGTAAAAACACAGTTAAACCATGCCACAGCTCATCATTGTGTAGAAAAAAAAAACAAAAAAAACAACCAAAATATGCCAACAAACAATTTCATTAAAGAAAGAGTACAGTAGCATAACAGTCAATATGCAACATGCAGCATCTTCTATGACTGTTTTTCACTCAGTTGTAATATAAATACATTAATCACAAAAAGTTGTTGGCATTGAGTTTTCAGGTGAAGCTTCAGGATGAACCTAAAATGCACTTTGACTTTTACAAGTGAACTTTATTTGACCTTCCCTCAACTTTTGAACGCACATGTCCAACAGTTTAATTTTTCAAAACTTTTTGCACAACTTGCCGTTCTATGTCACGAGCTGAATGGCAAAATTCACAGTACTGTAGTCGTTTGACCCAAAAATTGACAAATAAATTGGTATTGAAGCAATTCTCTTTACAGAGGCGCTGTTTACATTTTGAAATCTTTATTTATATTATTTATATTATCTAAGAGTTCCAGTTTAGTATTAAATTTTATCAGTGTATAATTGAATTCTGTAATTAAGATCCAGGCATATGTGACTGCCAAATATATGATATTTAGATTTTGAAAAATCCCTTCACCACAGTAAGGGAGGAAAGAACACATAAACTTGCTTTTACTGGATCTATAATACAAACACAAAAAAGATGTATTATTATTATTATTATTATTATTATTATTATTATTATTATTATTACAAGAAGCAGTAACTATATTTACTATATATTTCAATGTTTTTGTACGAGAATAACCAACCAACTGATCCTTACTGGTTGGGATAGTGCAGCTTCGACAGGTTGAACTTTACGACAGTATCTTCGCTCCACGGCACCGCTCAACTGTTTTACGGCATACGTGTAAGTCTATCTCGTAGCCGCTTGATTATTAGGGTATAAACAGGCATTATTTGTTTCTGGAATTTACGATAGTCTCACGTTGAGATATCAGACCAGGAGATATGGATGTCGGAGAGCTCTTGAATTATCAGGTATGGATTAGGCTCCCTCTCACTCAGCACTCATTCATGAATTTATGGTGCTAACATTTCCATTGAGAGTCCATTGAGTGTCACTGCTCGCAGTCGTGTGCAGTCGCGTAGTCGAGTTTCAAATTGTTTAAGATGATCTCGTGTAGCGCAGTACGTGACAAGAGAGCATGTTATTTTTCTTATGTGTTTACCAGGGATTAATATTCGTAGCGAACATGCTCATTCAAACGGGAGGAACGCTGGTTCTTTAACAGAGTAGACAGTGTCCGCTCCACAATTGAAATTAATATATTCAAATATGTAACTTTTTGACTTCTAGCAGTTTTCAAGAGGAGATCGAGATCATTTTTAGTGTTGTAGCAAACCTACATTACGCCCGCTGCGTTTATCTGTTTGGTGAACCGGATCCCCTTGTGTCATACCGTGTTTTGAGGAAGTATTGCTTATTGCATCTCTCACCGCGCAGCCCGACAGAGGAGCAACACGTTCCAGAGAGAATGACGCAGGAGAGGAAGATCCGAGAAGTGCAAAGCATCAGAAGCTGTCCAGTACTAGACACAGAGATGGGACAGGAGCAGGCGTTGAGGGAGGAGCTGACATGAAGGACAGTGATGATTTGACAGTGGATCGCAAGAAGATCTTGGAGAAACTGATGGACCAGGATGAAGACGATCCGGAGGTAGATGCATTTATTGATATACAGTAGAGTTTCAAAAGTCGACTACCCCTGAGGTTTTACATTTTAAAATTTTTCCAAAATGTGTCTGGAAAATTTGCTTCAAAAGTCCCACAAGACTACATTATGAATGCCGTCACATAATCTGATGTGAGCATACCTCAAAAGAATGGGCCACCATCACCATCATTATGTGAGCGGCTAAAAGTTTGCCTGATGTTCGAAATTTGTGTAACACTCAGTTCTTACACAATTGTACTCTGCGTCATAGCTACATTACCAATCACGTGTGTAGTATGTGTCGGAACATTTCGGTCACTATCTGTCAAAAGATCGCAGCTGCATTTGTCATCGCTTCAAATGTGTATGAAATTAGGGCGCAAACAGTTGTATTTCTCTTACCATCTATGCTAAAGGTACAGTGTGGAAATTGCACTTGCCATCTCGTAGTGAACTAATAGAATGCAATGACCTAAGATTGAAACGCATGCATTTTGAAGCATGCGCACTACGGTGCCTCAGAGAGACGACACTTCGCAAGCCTACCACCAAAATCAGAAAGCCAAATGTCATCACAAACCACTTCTAGTATTCACTCGAGTGATGACGTAAGTGCATTTGTTACACATGCTGTAGTCAGTGATCCGGTAAATTTGTGATCGGGTGATTTGTCTCCTTCGGGAATCCACAGCAGTTGGGGAAGGCTAGTATTCTAATGATAATTGCCAGTGAGAGAAAAGTTGCACCACACTTGCAATGTACTAACATGTTATGATGTGCCCATCATGCCAAATGCATTGAAGCCTTTAGAAAGTGAGACACTTTCCCTTTTTCCAGTAAAATCCCCTCGATAGTGTAGAAACTCTGGCTCCTCTCACATAATTAGTGTCTTTGTGCTGCAGGCAGCCGTGCGTCGCCCTTGACAAAAGGCTTCTTCTTGTTTCTCTTTCATCTCTCCCCCCGCTGCTACTTCCCTTCTGTATCAAAAGGCAGAGCCGGTGGATGAGAGCTCAGTGAAAAAAATGATCCTGACCTTTGAAAAACGATCCTACAAAAATCAGGAACTCAGGATTAAGTTCCCCGACAATCCAGAAAAGTAAGCCCACCGACGACATCCTTTTCAACAAACATCAATTGTCATCAACGCCAACACAACAGCCTCTTTTAATAACCTCTCGTTTTGTGCCTCCGTCCAGGTTCATGGAGTCCGAACTGGATCTAAATGACATTATACAGGAAATGCATGTGATTGCTACCATGCCTGATCTCTATCACCTGCTCGTAGAGCTCAACTCTGTTCACTCGCTGATGGGTCTTCTCAGTCATGAAAACACTGATATCCTTCCTGTGATACACTATAATAATAATAATAATAATAATACATTACATTTATAAGCGCCTTTCAAAACACTCAAGGATACTTTACAATCAAAACAAGAACAATAAAACCACAGATAAAATTATAAATAATAAAAGGAGAGGTGAATTTAAACTGAATTTAGCGACTCTAAATAGTTGACGCCGGCAACATCGCCGCCGCAAGGAGCACCAGCTGACCCAGCCAGGCCGGCCAACACACCGTGGTCCGCGGATCGGCCGCCGTTTCTGCCGCTGTCTCCGTGCGGCCG